TGAGCAGGCGGGAACGAGTTTTGGTTAATGTGCTGAATTGTATTTTGCAATGAAAGAGGACGTAGTGGCGGCGGATATGGAGACATGAAATGTATGAGGGTTTGTATGCAACTTTTATTCAATGCGTCATTTCCCGATTTTATGTGCGATAATTCGAAAACGCATTGTAAATGACATTGTGCAGTTCCGTTCGTCAGATTATGATTTTCTTGCGTTTATACATAACCAGTCCGAAGCTCGTGATCTCGCTGTTGGATCCATTCGTGCTGTGTCTAAAAACAATTTGTTTTGACGCATATTGTGTATAGGAGTTCAGTCAATTCAGTCGTCTGCTCCTTGGGTTAACTTAATGAAGTGCCATTGGCAATAATCTCAAATGGTGGTTGATAGGTGTATGTCATGTTGAGGCGTGCTTTAGGTTGACGAATCCACTACGCTTTCATGTACTTCGTCATTTCAAGATATCGTTTATGCGGCATTGGATCAATGAACGAGCAGCGTTTCGCGCTAGTTTGTGCAAGAGAAACACATTCGCCTGAGCTGTCCATTGCAAATGCGTGAGAATAAGCAAATCCACTTTAACTCAAATTTTGTGCCAATAGTTGAATATGTCTTTAAAGCATAAGTTGAACTTAAATTCTGGGCAAACTGTTAGGCTAATACTGCAAAAGTGTGATGCTCGCCATAGGGGTTGGCATTTCATCGCACTCCTCGATCCATTTACTCAAAGGTCAACGATTTAACGCATTGCTTGCTAGTGTCAGGGACCACAGTAGAATTTCGGCAATGCAGTCAATACTGATTGCAGACAAGACGATGGAAGTGGTAACTTGGAGACAAATCCCGAGTCGGCTGCATTGTGGACTTAGGAATTCGCGTTTCAACAACTAAATTTGTCGTTAACCAAATAATAAATGTATTCTTTTTATCACTTTGGTTTGGGCTGATTTATTGGAAGACCTTTTAGACTATCTAGGAGAGGATATTGAAAAGGGAAGAAGTAGCGATAGAAGTGTTTCTCTAAGCCGAGGTGTCCGAAGTGGAAGTGCTCATAAAGACGTAGTTGGCCTACGTGAAAGTGTTTCTCAAACCCGAGGTGGTCGAGTTAGAAGTGCTTTTCAAAATCGAGGTTATCAATATAGATTTCTTCCTCGAGACCGAGATTTTGGAGGAAAAAGTAGTAATCAAGACCGGGATGGTTGAGATGGAGGTGTTTCTCACAACGGACGTGGTCGAGGTGGATATGTTTTTCAAGATCGAGGTGGAAGTGCTTGTTGTGAATCTTGGATTAACCTCACGCCTAGGTCTCGATGTAAGCTCATGTATGACTCACACATCCGATCTATAAACACACACGCGCAAACCCGACACATCTGCTTTGGTTGAGCTCTGAATAAACGGTTGTGTTCACGTACTCTTCGGTCTTTTCCTTCATCGCGGGCATCAGACAAGCGTAATTGGGCCAGGATTAATTCCGTGGTCCCGTCGTGGTTCAAGATCACATGCTGGGGCCCACAACATGCTTCGCACAACCGAGGTGGTAAAGTTGGATGGGTTTCTCAAAACCGGGGTAATAGAGGTCGAATAAGTTGTCAAGACCAAGGTGGGAGAAGGAGAGACAGTTTTCGAGAACGGGCTGGCATAATTCAACGCGGAATTAAAATCCAAGTAGCTAGATATCTTGGTGGAGGTTCGCAGGATCTGCACCGTCACCAACTTCAAGCCGGTCATCGATTCTCTCGTTCACTATAGTGAAAGTTACAAATATTCTGTTCTAACCTTTTTTTAAATAAAAGATGCCAAGCTTCTAAGTTTTCATGTTGTGCTTTGGGGTTATGCTATTGTAGCGTGTGAAAATGCTGCAATTTGTAATTCAGAGCAATTTTGGGGCTTTAGATGGACCGCCTGAAGAAGTAGAGAAGAAGGAGCAGTTGTCACACCACAGTCACTGCAAATCAGTGGTAGTGACGGCAGAAATAGGATGAAGGGCGGTGGTGACGGCGGTGTCAACAAAATTGCCCCGGAGGTATAGGATAAGTGTAGATAATGACAAATGCTTATTGTTTAATAACTGGCTCTCAGTTTTAAACTGATGTTGAATATCTAGGATGCCGATTTGAAAAGGATCGATATTTGAAAATGCTCAGACAAACGAAAGGTACTATGTACGCCTACGGTGATTTGGACTTGGCTCATGCAGATCATATTTTGCAATTTAGAAGAACGTTGTGCAGTTTTATACGCAGTTGTGCTTATTTGGCATTGAGCAAGCCTAGGTCGGAGACATCACCTATGACGTTAAAAACGCGATTTAAATAATTGCCAACATGTTCGCAGTTGCCCTAAGACTAGCGGATTAGCGGCGATCGCGTCTGAGTGAACCCTGTTTACTGATCTGATGGTGATAATGACTCATCCCCTTTACGTTGCTTACTGTTATCAGACAACTGTTATCTTCTCACTCATTTACACACTAAGACGCGTGCTTGGCTGACCTAACACTGTCCACTGTCGTCTGTCTTCTCGAGTTGTATTGGTCAGTTAACTAAAGAAATCTAAGGTAGTTCTAAGCGGAGCCACTGCGTGTTTGTTCCATACTTAGAAAAATCTGTTGGGGATTCAGCCTTCTCTAAGACGGCTCGTCATGGGTTAGGATTTCGTGCTTGTGAACACAATCCCCTAATTGCACCACTTTCGTGACAGAATAACCTACGGCACACAAATTACAGTCCCATCCATCAGGTTCAAGTCATCCTTGGGCGCATTCAGACAGACCACTCAGCCTCTGGCTGAGGCATCAAAAGCTCCGCACGAGGTCCTACGTTGTCTTACATCAACGTGGGAATGTGGGGTCCAGAGTCAGACCAGGGATCTACAATACGGGTTTTCTGAGCGCGTGGTCTTGGCAACGAGCCAAATGTGACAATATCATTCCCCAATTGAATGGACCTGTGAAGAATTTTAATGTGGCCACCTTAGTGAGATTCTTTTGGCACATAAACAGCTGCGTTGCTCCTGGCGAGGCAACAACCAAAAGACGTTATCTAGTTTGCAAACGAACAATATGCGTTCACTGACCCTGAAGCTGACTGGTTTTGATCCACGCTGGGGTAATATTTGTCGAAAATTTCATTTACGCCCAACTCATGCCTCTATCCCAGGCTATAACCTGACTTCTAATAAAGCTTTGTCGTCTTTTGAATCTTTCTAACACAGTCCGGCTGCTGTTGCTGCTACAGTGGTTTGGGCTTAATCAGTGGTCACAATTTTTCCACATCCACAAATATCCGCACTAAGATGAAAGTTAGAAACTTCAAACTGATGGTCCTTGCTGCAAGATATGGTGCAGGTCCAATTCTGAAACGAACAGAAGTGTAGGTGAACAGACATTGGCATTAGCTTCGAGAACTTCGCAGCCTGTCGAACTGCATCAAGTCACGAGGGCGTTACGTGAAAGCTGAAAACCCCGATTCTGTTCCTTTTGATTGGCGTGTCAAGGCTGTTTGCGATCCACATATGGTGGTTTGTGATGTGCTGGGTTAACCTTTAAGTGTGCCTTAAGGATAACAAGCCTGTAAAAGCGACTTCTGCTCATTCCTTGATTAACTGTTGGTTGATGTTACTAGGGACAACATAATATAAAGGGCCGTTGCTGGCTTGTGACAAATAGGACAATTGCATTGTGCTGGAAATGCAAATAATGAGAATTGAGGGCTGCTGTTGAGGCCAAGTCAGCATATTTGACTCTTAAGTGCCGTGTGTGTGTGTGTGGAACTTAACTGCCTTCATAACATTTTACGTGACTATGCGGTCAAATCCAACTCCATTTTGACTGAAATAACTAGGACTTGTGCCACAGATGTGGTTATTAAAATTGTTGCAAATGTTCAGTGTTGTCTACTTGCACAGGTTTACTTCGAGGAGAATAGGAGTGGTACTGAGTATTGTGGACAGGGTCCAGTGACTCGGATGGAGACACATGGGAATTACTCGTCGTTGTTGCCAGCCACGTGTGAACCGTGGCTGCCATGGGGTCTATGACAATAAAGATTGGGTGGCAGATGATTTACAACTTTTCACCTACTACCTGTGTCACGCGTAAATGCTTTGTTACCGCAGTGTATCTTACCCAGCACCCACATTCTTCTCACATCTGGCTGCCTTCCGTGATCGAGATAGGCTAAAGGGCTCGGGCTCAACTATCGATTACTCAATGAGCGAAATCGATTCATGGTAACACTGATCAGTAAAATCGCATGTTATCCTTGTAGCACTTACCTACTTTAATATTGTCCTTTGTTAAGATCTTGTTCTACCTTTTAGTGAACCTATGTATTATTATTTGCACAATAAGTTACCTTGACTAAGTTCTGCTATCATGTTGTAATTTAAAATAAAAAAAAAATTAATCTTCTAGCGTTTAATAAAAACATGCACATTTTTGCCGATCTCGAAGATGTAGCTTTTAATGGGCATCGCCTAATGTGGCGTCGTGCCACTTGATAAATATGTGTGTCTCAATTGTTCCAAATGGCCAAAGGTTTTGTGTTTGGGCATTGTGCTAGTGTGCCGCATTTAATGATTTTAATGAAATTTACCAAAATGTCTATTCGCGTCTTAGTTGATGTGTAGAGGTGACTAAACTTTCACAATGGACAAGCAAAGGAGGGGAATGGAGTCATGTGCAATTGGTAAAGTAGGTAACAATGCACCTTTTTGAAATAAAAACCAACAGATTTCTTCTATTGTTCCGTTTGTGTGCCATCGGAAAGAGGAATTCAGAGGGCGTTTTTATGCGGGCATCGTTAGTTAGCAACGAAAGCAATAACACTTCACATCTAAACAAAGTTGCCAATCACAGCACATAGTAGCACAAAAACCAAAAGCTAGCTACGTACAGAGCCTAACATCTGGCAGCCCAATCCAAAGCATGCACCGAATCAGAACACAGTTCTAATATTGGTTGAGCTGATCAGAAGTGCCGTTTGCGTTGTCGGGAGTGATGGTTCGTTCAATTCTAAACCATGTGAAATACCTATGCTCATTTTTTGGTTGTTCAGTTTGCTTTGCATTTTATAGGACGCATTATCTTTAAAAGAGGTAAAGTATCTAAACCAGACGGCGAAGTACAAACGTGTTTTAATAGGTTATAACTAATGCTCGTAATTTAACAGTTATTGGCTACATTGTGAAACTGTCCTTAGTTGTGTTGAGGTTGTGGTGTCTTTTGGTAGGGGCATTATATATATTTATTCTGTCTCCAATTTAAAACCTAAATTTGGTGCATTGATATTTCTAAAAATGGGAAAAAAAATAAATTGCTATGTCAGGAAAAATTTTGTAAATGAATCTTGAAATTTTTCAATTTAGGCAATTTTTTTCGCCTCAAAGCCATTCACCTTCGAGGTCTTCGCTTTACGGAGATAGCCATTTCATAATTTACTGTCTCCGGATTTCGTCGTGTTCTGGTCTTTAGCAGTCATCATCACCTATGATTTTTCCGGAATTTATTGAAGGGGTTGGTAATGAGGTGTTAATTTGTGCGCTATCCCTTGGTGCTATTATGTTCTGCGTTGCTCTTCGAATTTACAATCATGGTATTCGCACAGCGCTACCAGCTGCTACTGCCCAACATGACTCCACGAACTCGAATTCCACTGTTTCTGAAAGCCCTGAACCCATTGAACCTATTGAAAATCTGGATAGCTACGATACTGGCGTGCTAGATACTGGTGTTATGGAATCTTTGCGGAGTTCAGCTCACCAGTTAGAATCGGGTAGGTCGTGTATTATGGCGTCATTTTCATCCATTTCTCACAGGCGCCTTCATTTTAGCTAATCTGTTCATTGACACCTCATATATTTGTCAGGTGATTATCTTTGTAATTGCTATAACATTTGTAGCACATAATTATGTTGATCGTCACCCTACGTTTCACCCATAATATAATTTAGGTCATTTTAATTTTTGATGATGTAGGCTTTTCCTTCGTTATATTCCTTGGGTATTTGCGGTTATCTTTCTTAAGTTTGCTGCTTTTCTTCATTCACATATTCACTGCGTTAACTAATTTCCTATCGTCAGGAGTTTAGCTCTTTTTGTGGAAGGTAATTCTTAAAACGACATGAATCATTCTTAAGATTACGAGGGCCATTTATACCAAGAATAATTCTTTTTAGAATCCTGCCACAGCGATGAAAAATGCCCAGAAAAAGAGAGAACAGAAAAAGAACTCCAAGATGCTAGAGCCCGTGGTAATATTGTCCTTCGCCTGCAATTCCTTAATGACAGTGTGCGTTATGTTCATGCTCCTCCGGAAATGCCTGTCATTTTCTTCAAAAGGTGTGTCCAACACTAATGATAATTTATTTTATGTACCTTTTTAAGTCTAGTTTAAACAAATGCACCAATCTATTCCTAATCGTAAATTCTCTGGTTAATTCCTGTTATTTAATCTCTGCACGGCGCGTGGTTCTCGCATGATTTGAAATTACTATAAGAATGTGAAATTCCTCTTTTTAGGGTCAGCTACAAATAAATTCGCTCAAATCTAATAGCCAAGTCAGTGACACTGACTGAAACACGAGGTGCGCGTCAGTGGTTGGTTCACTATGTACGCACCACAAATGAAAATGGGGAGGTCCCATCAGAAGTCATTTAACGTCACTTTTGTACCCATTTTTGTCTAAACGTTGCATATAAAAACATCTGAAGGCATTCTTGTAGTTTGCACCAATGTTCTGTTTGCAATAGAAATGGAGTATTAGTGTTAGCGCTGAACTTTCATTGTTTCGTTTTAAATAGCCTTATATTCTGTCAACCCTAATAATATCCACGTTATTAGGTCTTTTTAATGTGCAGATGTTCGGGGCACCTGTTTGTGTTAGTCTTTAGCGTAGTACCCCTAACACTTTGTTCTTTCAATCTACATTTTTAGTTATTGGGCCGCAAGTTTTGTGATTTTTAACCGCCATGAATTTCATGCATCCAATTTTTTTAAAGCGGAGCCAATTGTTTGTCTAGCAAAATCCCAACAGCGCGAAGAAATGTTTGCCTTTATGATATTTGAAATATGTGAACTAAATCTCACAGTGGATTTTCTGTGAACAAGTCACTTGGTTTCGTAACTAAGAATATTGACTATTTGTTTTCTGATTAAACGACAGTGTAGTTTATGTGCAAACCATCATTGCAAATGCGAACCCCCATCTGGAAGGTCCGGCGTGACGATGGTGCTAGGCCCTAGAAGTTCAATTTCTACCCGTCATGCACGTGAATAAAGTTTCTGCTGCTTGTTGTTTTTTGGTTTTACATAAAACGCCGAACATGCTTCGTACCTGCACCACAATGTTTCAGGAAAACTACAACATAATCATAAATCATGTGTTGTGCTTGTGTTAATATGATGTATTTGTGAAAGAAAATCTCGTGTGCACATGCGCCTGATGATGGGAAATTAATTTTACACTCCTGAAGTCTTTTAAAGTGCCAAGAATTCCACCTGGTTGAATGCCAATTGCTGGTTGAGGATGCAAGCTCGCTTGCACAACCTTCAACCGATAGGCCTCATTTGACATGCCACATGCTGATTCACCTACGTAGAGACAGTTTATGAGTCCAGCAAACGCTGATTTGAGATCCAACTCTTGTTATACGTCGAATCGTCGGTTGGATTGTTACGGCTTAAAATTTTTGACGTCACAAGCTGAGCCCTTGCACGGGAATTTACGTGGCGGACATAAAGTTGGGATATCTCGTGTGAACTGCGAAAGTAGCTACAATGGTGTTGCCTGGATCCATCTGAAGTCGTATTACAGGGGACTTCATTGCCCGCTGGTTCTCTGAATGTGCCGTCTTTTTTTCGCTTCGTTATGCTATGACGAAATTCTCTACAGGATGTGCCATGCAAGCATGCGTTTTCTTTAGTTTTGGAAGCTGTACAAACGCTAAATTGGTTTCGTCTTGGTTGCCTGAATAAGATTCTAGTTTGTGCCTGTCAACTTCTGGAATCAAAAATCTTGTGTAAGTTGCAAATTTTTGCAAAATCAAATTAATAGTGGAAAAGGAGGAGGGATAGAGGACAACCGCTTTATTGCCCCATCAGCTGGTTTTGTCTGTTTCGTTTTTTTTGCTTTGTGAGTGGAAGCAATCGTTGCCATTCGCAAATTATGACACAGGCGTAGATACCATATACTGACGAATAATCTTGTAAGAAATGTGTTGTGAATGGGCTATGATCATTCGCGATCTGAAATTACTTCTTCCAGTCCTTCAGTTTTAAGTCTACGTATGGTTTTTTATCAAGTGAATAGTTGTGTGTACGCATAATGAAAATGAATGCCTAATTGTAATGCTTAAAAGTAGTGCTGTGTTGGTCGAGAAAATTTGGACTGAAGTAAATACTCCTTCCGCGGAATTGAACTTGTAAAAAAATACCCATCCTTTTCGTCTGTTGCGTGATTTTTCTAAAAAAAACGTTAAGATCAAAAATTCCGGTTGTCGGTTTTTGTTTCTGAGGCTTCTAGTATTTAGTACACTGCCTACATAACGATAAGCATCAACTCCTTCTGGAACAGTGCTACAACTGTGAAATTTCAGACAAGATTTGGTGGCAAAGCACATCTGGGAGCGTAAGGTTTAGTCCTATACTTCTTGTCCGAGTTAACGGACCACAACTTGTAAAAATGTTCGAAGCGCACTACATAGGAAAGTTTCGTTATTAATTATAGGATTATTACCCACCCATCCATTTCACTTTATAGTGTGGTTAGTCTCATTAACGTAGCGAAGTTCCTAATCTTTGATTTGGAATGGTAGCACTTTAAATTAACGTCTGTTTGGTAACTGCGCCAATGGCCACTAACAGATCTTCTGTACACTTTCAGGAAGTTTTTTGCGGATGAATTGGAGCGTCAGCACAAAAGTGTGCGCCTCATATTCCAAGGGCGAGAGCTGAAGGCCTTAGCCGCTGAGTCTCGTGACAGTCCGTCTCGTCGCCGCCTTTGCGACTACGGCGTTACAGATAACGCAACCATCCACTGTCTCATCAGCGACGCGCCACCGCCGTCTGCAGCGCCACAGTCAGCTGCGCCGAGTTCAGCGTCAGTTCGACCGAATTTCGCCGCCCCTGATGATATTGACTTGGGCACTCACGCGATGATGCCGCTGTTCGCCTTTATGCTAACCTCAGTCTGGCTGTTTCGTTTTACACATGCAGAATACTTTAGTTTTATTTCAACTCTCGCTCTAGTATGTCTCTCAGTCTTCTTTGGTGGTGCTGCCTGGAGTGCAGCAACCGCGCGGCGACATCGACCGAGCGAAGTAACCTCTGGTGCTTCAGGAGACGCACGTCGGACATCATAGTCCTTTGACGTCCACCAAAAATAGCCTTACTTGTCTTTCTCAACACATGGGAGTGTGAGAAAACTTAAATTAAACGATTCTAATTTTATTTTTTATTTTCTGTTCGAATATGCTTTAAGATCCATGATAAGAGCACTAAACGAACTTGGATGTAGATATAACTTCCGGCCTTGGACGAGACATCTAACGTTAACGCTAGGCCTTGCGCCTCTTTAAAATGCCTATTATAATAAAATTTAGGATTATTACATTTGAAACTCCTACATTACTCTTTAATGGAAGGGCTTAACAGAAATGCCGATTTGAAATGTTTGTGTATTGCATTCTGTGCATTCACCGTGTGATGAGGATGGCCATCGGGGCGATGTATAGGCCCCTTCAATTTCGAAACTATGTGTGGACAGCTTCCTGCTTATGTCTATGGTGCTGTATACTAGGTCAGTGTTGGTTAGCTTATCTGCGTTTATTATTGCCTGCGCTTGCATAAGTGTTCAAAAGTGTTAGTGTAGACTCCAAAAACGATTGAAAAGGAAATAATGGGTGGAGTTTGCCCTCGATAACCCTTGACAGACAGTCAGATTGCATTTTTGTAGAGAACAACCGCATGAGGTTAAGAACACTGGTAGCAATGTTCATGACTAGTGTTAAAGAGACTGGCTGGAAGTTATGCCGTGGCAACTGACTTAATTTTTCAATTGTGAACCGATCTAAAACCGGATTCTCAAATAAGAATAATACAAAGTCGACGAGCTCTGTACCGTTTATTTTGCCTCTGAATCTGGGTGTGTTTGTCTTTTTTAACCTGTGCATTTATTGCTCCTAGATTTGAGTCGTAGGTGGGTCAAAACAGATTTAGAAGGGTTTAATTGGGGTGGAGGCTGGTAGTGGCTTGGTAGAGTATTTAAGAGATAGTGAGGTAGTGATAAATCTAAAGGATTCAACACAACGGTAATTCAAACTGTATTTTTAAGCAAACAAGTCATTATTCGTCGTGAACAAACTGATTCTATCATACAGGATTGATTTGTTGTAAAACAGATAAACGTTAAGCCAAAATTAAAATAATAAGCCCATCTAACACGAATTTAAAAAAATAAGTAACAAAATATCATTAAAAAAATTTTCTAAGATATATCTAAAATTTTATGTTCACATAGTCTCAACAATCCACATCTCCAAAATGCTATCCATTGCGTTTCATGCCTTTTGCTCAGCAATTAAGACACATTTCTGGTTTGATGCATTGAATGGGATCATTACACAGAAATAAAACTTCTTCGACTGGATACCACGATGCTTTTTCTTCCAGCTTACGCCCCGATCATAAATGGCCAAATGCGTGTGCAAAGTAATTATAACAAATAAGTAAATTCCTAGTTCAAAACTACTAAAAACGGTTAGGTTTTTGTTTGTTATTTAGCTTATATATCGGCTTTAAAAAAACTTAAATATAATGGAGCTTTTTTCCACCGAATTTAAAATTTACTTACTGAAAACGCTTCATAATTAACTGCATCATTTCAGTAAATTCTAATATCAGTAACTTAAAAAAACTGTCATATTTGGCGGCTCATTCATATTCGTGTGTTTATTTGTATTAACGCGTGGTTTTACCTTTTTTAAGTTTCACTATTAATTGCTTATTGGCGGAATCGTCCAATTTCTGCATTATAGTGTTTTCATTAGCTTTACACATTAGTGTATGTTAAGCAAGTTCCATTCAATTAACTCAATTCCAATCCTTATTTTATGGTCTACACTTTCTGCTGTTTAATCTCGAGCTCCTATTTTTGACAACTTGGTCACCTGATTAACCGTTGATGTCCCTTAAAAAAATTAAATGTTGTATACTATTTCTGTATCTTATTTGACCAGTTTTCCTGTGTACTTTCTTAATGAAAGTATATTCTGCCTTGCCGATTTTGCTTCCCGTCGTTTCTCATTTGTTGACCATAAATTGTTCTTTTGGTTTAAGGACCATTAGTATGACCAAACCGCCCCTTTCTATCGCATCAAAAATCCTAGAAGAGCGGCAGCGTCTTCCAATTTGGCCCCATCGTGATGAGTTGGTAAAAACCGTCAAAAGTAGCGACAATTGTGTCATCGTCAGTTCGACAGGCACGGGAAAAACTACACAGTTGCCTCAATTTCTTTTAGAAGCTGGACTTGCCTCACCAGGAATGATTGCCATCACCCAGGTTAGTCACTAAATTTTTTTCTGTCTCTTGGTAATTTTGTTATTGACTTTATTTTCTTGCCGAGTAGTGTAACTTTTTTTAGTAACTCCTGTCATATTACAAAGTAATTTTATTTGTTTCTAAATCTCTCTGATTTATGTTGAGTGACAGCCAGTGGTACTAAAGTTGGGCAACACCTTTGGGGTTTTAATCCAATTTGCTATATAACCAAAAGTCTGGCAATGTGCAATTTCGCCTAATTGTAAAGATTTATGACACGAAAATATATCGAAAATTCCCAGGAAACCAAACGATTAAATTCCGATTAAAGCCCTCTTTCTTCCGTCTGTTGACCAAGTTTTCCGCTGCGGGGTTGTTAAAATTATTTTGATTGCATCTGCTTCAAATAACTCGACCCCAACGTTTGGAAGTTGTCAGTTACGTTTCACGAAATCTCTTTAATCGCTTTGTTCAGCCGCGTCGATTAGCCGCAATCTCAGTTGCTCAACGGGTTGCCGAGGAACTGGGTCAAGGTGCAGTGGGTGTGGGTCCAGTGGGTTATTGTGTACGCTTCGAAGACGTAACCTCTCCCAACCGGACACTGTTGCGTTACATGACAGACGGCATGCTTCTACGCGAGGCCTGCCTCGATCCCAAGCTCTCCCGCTACTCAATTGTCATCGTCGACGAGGCTCACGAACGGAGTCTCAACACCGAAATCCTTCTTGGCGTTCTTCTCAACGCCAGTCATAGTAGATCCGCCTCCTCGCATCCTCTTAAAGTAGGACATTGTCACTTCACAATATTGCTATCGTTGTGACGTGTTGATTTCGTTTGGGCGCAGTGCCTCTAATTCATTATCCGTAACTCGCGATCAGTTACCGCTAGTATTTTTTAGAAATAATCCTTGCTTAATCACTTATGATTGTTTCTTTGATTGTCATCCTTTGTGGTAATATGCCACTTTATGTCCTTTTTGACATGTCAATTGTTAGCAAAATTTACTGTCTTCATTGCTGTTAAATCTTTAGAACCTGCTATATTTCAACAGCATGGTATCTTTTTGCATTGGGCTTAAACCTAGGCTTCGGGTAGGCTTTCGCATGGCGTCTGCATAAACTTGTAACTTTTATTGGATACGAAACTGCAAATGCCATTCATCTACCCAAGATTCCTGTGACGTAGGCCCCTGAAAGGATCAATTCGCACTTCACGTAATATCATATTGTGAACAAAGTTACAAACTTACCACCCCTCTTATTTTCAAACGTGTACAGATCGTCATCATGTCGGCCACTATCGATCCAAAGCGCTTCGTGGACTTCCTTGGTTCATCGAAGACTCGAGTTGTCTACGTTGAAGGTCGAAGATTTCCCATCAAAATCCTGAATTCCACAAAGCCCTCCGTTGACTATGTGTCTGATGCTGCTTCAACATGCATCCAGGTTTGAATCCGCGTATTTTTGTTTTTTTAATGAGGCTAGATTTTTTTATGGAAGTATCATTTTCACGACATGCATTTTACCTTCAGTTTCTATGATTTAACAGTGCGTCAGCATCAGACAAGTGGTGAATATTTAGCTCTCAGATAGTTCTAGTCCCCAATCGTTGTTGTTTTTATGCACGTTGTTCAAATCTTCATTGTTAATATGTTGCATAAAACATTTTTTGTTGCCTGCTTTCATAGATGCATCGTTTGCCCACATGCCTCCCGGAGCGTGGTTTCCTGATTTTCCTTACGGGTGAGGACGAGATCACCCGTTGCGTCAATCTCATTCGACATCTCTACAAGTCTCTTCTTGATTCGACCAACAAAGACATCGCGCAGCACTCACAATCTAAATTGCCAAAACTTTCCGTCTTTCCACTTTTTGCCTCCCTGCCACAGGCACAGCAGCTCAAAGCACTCAGCTTTAGCAAACCGGTGGGTCTGTAGTGCTGTCTTGAGTTGCTTTGATAATTTCACTCGTGCATGATGATTTTGTATCGTATTTAAGTGGTTGCACTTTTTTCGAGCTCTCGTCGACAACCTTCACAAAGTCGCTTGTTTTCTTCATCTCCATGTAGGGCACTCGTAAGGTTATCGTGAGTACAAATATTGCCGAGACCTCTCTTACCATCCCTGGCATTCGATACGTCATTGATTGTGGACGAGCCAAAATACTGTAAGCTGTTTGTACACCACGATGCTCTATTGCCTCTTTACATTTTAGCTCTACGATTTCAGTCATTGACTCTCTTAAGACTTTGACTCTCATGTCGCCTTTGGTGTATCTGTCCGCTGACTCGAAGTTTTGATTAGGTGCATCAAGTGAGTAGAACCACAGGAGTTGTGATCAAGGCTCTTCATAACCCTCTCTAAGTAACGATGGGATATTTCCAAAGTTACGTATCTGTGCAACTCCAAAGCCTAGTTCAAGAAATGACGCTCTAACAGACAATTTCAGTGTTAGTTTGCCAGACTCCTCAATCAATGTACTTGAAGCAGGGTTCGTAAATCTCATTCAGTTCATTGGTGGGTCATACGGAGTTAAAAGATCGGTCTGGGAATGTGTTTGGACAGTATTTTGTCTGACACATCTTGGGAGTGGGGTAATTATTCCTGTTCACTTTTTAGAAGGGAAGAAAATGCTTACAGAAAACGGTGAATTCGAAAAAAAGTGCTCTGGTATTGTAGGATTGACGTTCTTTTTCTTCAAAGTTTGCGTTTGTTGCAAGTCTTTGTGTTCGCTTCCCGCACTCACCTCGAGCAAAATGTTCGGCTGCGTCCTTTTTCTAACTTAAACGCTACTCGCATTTCCCCTCCTGTGTAACTTCAGCGACTGGAACAGCACCACCGGTTTGGAGCGTCTTCGCGTGGCGTGGGTGAGCAAATCCCAGGCCTGGCAGCGCGCCGGCAGAGCTGGTCGTGAAGCCGCCGGGGTCTGCCTGCGCCTCTACACTGACGCCGAGTACGAGCGCCAAATGCCCCTCCATCCATCCTCCCAACTCGCGTCAGCTCCACTCTCCGGTGTCCTCCTTAACCTTCTTGCTATGGGCGTTCAGGTTTGTATCTGATAGCTCTCCTTACCAGGGCAAGGCATTGCTCCTTTGTCCTTTTCCCTTAGGGTTTGTGCTCCCATCTTGCTTTCATTTCACTTTAACAAGTAATTCGGCCACAAATTGAAGCACAAACTATAAGCATTTTTTGTAAATATGATACGTTTATTAGTATTGTGGCACACCTTGAATGGGAAAAGGCTACATTTCACAGTAAGTGGTAGACGATATGAAAATAATTTGTCTCGGGTCGCGGTTTTCAAAGGTTTTAAGTAAATGTGTCAAAATATAACACGCTTCGGCTACAGTGGTGCTAATTTTGCTTCTAAATGAACAGAGAATCTAGTTTGTCAGCCACATTTAAGCCGAATATTCCTAAGGTATTTGCTTCACTTCTTCGTGGTGTAGGTAATTGATTATCGAATTCTGGCCATTTTACTAGTGATTAATCAGACGTATCTTACGAGCAAATAATTATGTTTGATGATTTAGGACGCCAGATCCTTCCCCTGGCTAGAGCCGCCCAAACCGGAGGCGATTGATGCCGGCCTCGAACTCCTTCATCGTCTTGGAGCCGTTACTGTCGACCCAGAGCGCCCCAAGTCCTCTCAGATTTGCAATGGCTCCGTGTCCCCCAACTCCGTACCTCGGCCTGTTGAAGTACGTCTTCTGTTTCGGCTGTTTCATTGTAAATTCTGCTTTTTAATTGGGTGTTGGTTATACCACTTAGCAGTCTATGAAACTCTTGGTATCTCCGCCTAAGTTTCTAAACACCTCCTGAATATTTTCCGGTGCTTTTGTAGCTCACAAAACTCGGTCGTCTCCTGACAGCCTTCCCATTGGAGCCGCGTCTGGCCCGGGCGTTGTATTCGGCTGCGCACCTGCACTGCCTTGTTGAAGCCGTGACCGCTGTCAGCATGCTCTACGTCGCCCCCGTATTCTATGTGCCGCAGGAGAACAGGGAAGAATTCGCCGAGGTAAAGTAACTGCGCCTTTAAAGCGGAAAACACGCATTGGGTGCGGGCGATGCCTTCTTGACAGGGTAACTTAACCTCCACAGTGTGTGTAGGGGAGTGCTTGTGAAAGGCCACAAGAGGTGAACGTGATCGATACTCGCGTCTAGATGCAATATGTGGTCTTATCGAAGTCTCGTGACCTGCCTGTGAATTGATTTTCGTTTACATTGCCTTTGTTAACTTGGTGAAATTTGCACTATTGACGCATCAAATTGTCGATCGCAATTCCACTCACCTACAAATTTCCTATTATGATGAGGTTAAATGGACACATTTCCCCTTGAATTTGGTGTAAACTTGCTAGAAAGGCAGTGAGAACCCAGTAGTCTGTGAAGTTCTGCGACAACCTGAAAGGTGTTCGCGAAGGTGAGCTAGCATGGGTGTGAATTTTTTTAGATTTCTGCGCGGTTTCGCCATGCAGACGGTGATTTGGCCAGCCAAGTTCTTGTCTACCGCGCCTACGTTAAGGCGTTGGAGAATCCTACTAATCTCCGTGGACCACACAACTCAACCCGCCCCACACGCAGCCAGTGGTGTCGAGAGAACTTTCTCAACCACGCCCGAATGCGAACAGCGGTGAAGGTGCGGGCCCAGCTTCGATCCATCGTCATGGCGAGCGGTTTGGGCGTGTTCCACACCTGCGGTACAGACGACTTCTCCCCCCTCACAAAGGCTTTCTTTGAGGTCGCTTATCGAGACCAGGTGAATTCATTGGTTCCAATGCATAGTCTTGTGTGTTTGTGTGTGTGTGTTGAAGCTGAGAATTCTGCATCCGTTGCGCGTGGTGGTTGACGTGTGATTTGATGTTGATGATGGTGTGTTGCGATCTGTGCACACGGACTCAGAACTCTCCGTAAATGGAATTTCTTTCTAACTTCACGCCTGCAGGTAGCGACTCTTCTCTCTCACCACACCAAAAAGTCAGTTGGTGAGACGCCCTCCAGAGACAACTTCCCCTACTATACGCGCCTTGGTGACACTGCCGCAGCCCCAGATCTTCTTACCATACACCCAGATTCCTGTGTTTATCCCCTGGCTGTTGTCGCCCGAAGCCCGCCTTCAGCAGTGCTCTTCCTGGAAGCCGTCGACTCAAATAACGAGAGTTCCACAGACAGTCAACAGCGTGTCCTGCTTCGGCACGTTTGTCCGATCCCGACTACTTGGTTAGGGGAGGCGGAGGCACAGCTGACGATGCGAACCTCTTTAAAGAGGGCGAGGTCAGACGTGGTGTCGTCTGAAAGCCCGTCAAAGGCGCCAAAGTTTGAAGATGATGGATCTCCTGACCCCCCACGTGGTCTTTCAGCTGCCGTACGGAGAAAACGAATGAAGAAATTAAAGAACAAGCAGAAAAGGCTTCTTGAGAAACAACGACGAGACTGTGAAGGCGGTGCACCAGATGGACATGTAGAGTAGATCCTATTTTGTAAAAAAATACCATTGAATTATCTTAAACAAGACACGTCTTTCAGTAAAATCGATTTTAATTTATTGCTAGGGAAAATTGTTTTACACCAAAGTTTGATTTCAGCTGCTGTGTATGATCTTCTTTCCGATCTTGGTTTCTACTTGCGACGAGAAACTTTAGACTTTTGGTATAGGTAAAATATGGACTTGGTGTTTGTGCACAGGGCCTTTTTCGTCAGGAAATTCTTTATTTTCAATAACGAGGCTATCTCTAAACTTGTGAAATCTCTTCTTTACCACAAGGTTGTACGCACTTTGGCACACCGGCTGCCCACAGACCTCGGTGGTTTTCTGCGTCGTTGTTTAATCGTCGGTAGACTTAAAAATTATAGAAGGGCATTTCATCCTCTTTGATTCCGGCGGCCCACACACTGCATTATTGCTAGACTTTATTGAGTCTAACTATGTACACGAATACTGAGCATAGGTTGGTAGTTCTCTTATGATATTGTGTGCCCAACTCATTAGTTGATTCTTACCCGTTCTACGGTAATGATGTAAACTGAAGAAATTTGGATGTAGCCTTTGTTGCTGTACAATACGTCAGTATGGAATCAGGGAGGTCTCTGACGATGAATTCTCGACCACTGCTCAAGTTGTTTGCGGCTTAGACAAACTCGAGATTTTGGGGGGTGTGCAATGGTGTGAAATCACTGAGCGGGTGTCAGCGTGCTCTAATCTGCCAAAATACTAGTTATCGTCTCCGGTAAACGATATCTGGCATGACGGTGCTGTTTATTGGTTTGGACCATTAAATCTATTTCTCAACATGACGGTAAATTTACCTCGGCGATAATCGATACCGTGATTTGTCGTGAAAAGGGCATTAACAGATCAACAGATCACCTTTTCCATTGGTTAATTTTTAAAAAAAGTTGCGTGCTCTCACCTTAATCTATTTTAGGAAAAGCGGGTGTTGTTGTATGTATTTTTTAAATGCGTAAGGAATTTTGATTCTAGATTTTCATTGCTTTTAAGTCATTTACTTGCAGGTTAGGTAAAAGACATCTATTTTAGGAAAACTTTTCTTTAACAACACACTCGCCATTGTTGAGGCTTTAAAGAAAATGTCAAGGTGCTTCACATGCTTCTCCTAATCTTCACTGGTAGCAAGAATCTCGTCAATGTTAAATTATGCAAAATCAAGGCTATATAACTCATCGTGGATGAAACCTTATTATGTTTGATTTAAAGCTTTGTATTCGAACAGCCTTTGCTCGAATCCAAACAAAATTTCATTTCAACGTAGCCGTCTTGTAAATATCAAATTGTTACCAAGGGATCTGATAACATGCCTTCACCAATTATAACCTATAAAACACATGTCATAGGTTTGATAAGGAATCATGCAGACTGGATTTAGGGATGTGATCGAGAATTTTGGTGGAGTTTAAAACGTGATAATCACAGCACGGATGTCACTTACCATCGGCTACCATGGGAACCAAGTTTAGCGTTAATGACCACTCACAGTCTAATCGCCTTACTACCCCAAGTTGCAGCATGTGTTCAAACTCCCACCTAGCCATGCACTAGCACGGCGATCATTTGTTAAGATTTTGTGAATAATCGAGTACCGGATATCAGTTTACCAGGTGCTTGGGTTGACCAAGTCCAGGCATTTCGGAAATAACGTTGAATAAGGTCTGCGGTCTATTTACAGCGTTGTAGTCTAGAGACGAGTTTACGAGGCTTGAAGGGGTGCCTAATGGTCAGGTTGGTCAAGGTACCTATTAGGCACATGTTCTTTAGGTCGACGAGTAGACCAAATTGTTCGAAAACTTCAGGGCCTATGATAGAATGAGTCACTGCTGCGATGGTAATTACCCAACAACAGCGGCGTTGTTTTTCGAGGCCTGGTAAGAGAGCTTTGGTATAGGCAGGAATGGAGAAACAATTGTTGCCTCAGAAAACAGAGAAGGGGATAAGGGACCATTTTTAAGAAGCCGTTGCAGGGGCAACCAAAACACCTGCATCTGTGTCAATCAGGAATCGAACACCGGTTTATGCATTGGACAAAAATAGACTACAACTTGAGTTCTACCGCATTGGATGCCTCTACCCCAAGGCGTTTTCATTTCCCCACTTCAATCACGTAATTGCACGGGGGACTACACTTAAGAGCCGAAGTTCCAAAGATTTTATGAAAACAAAAATTTCAAGATGGTAAAGGTAAAAGAGGAGCTGCGCGAGGTTTATAGCAGTTTCGTTTAATAAGTTGACGCATCATTTGCTCAGGAATCCTTTGTTGTTGAGGCATAAATTGCTGCCTCGATCTTGTCTAAGCAACCCTACAATGCAATATTGATTTTACATGCCGTTAACAGCATGCGGTTGTGTTGGGAGACAAGAGCTATTTTCTCGTACATGGACAAATTTTGCTGATTTTAATGTGCTATCTGGGGTATCTACGAAATGTTCTAGGATTGATGATGCGTCATTAGGTCCAGAATCTATTCAATGCTACTAAATAGTTGTTTACGAAAAAAATGCGTGCCAAAAACTCCCATGAAGAAGGTTATTGTTTGAAAGTTGATTCATTTCTTACGAAAGCTGAAACGGATTGAGGTCACTAAACTTAACACCAAAAAAATTTGTGGAGCGCTGCGCATGTTTCAGGATCGCGGCTTTCAATGCGTTGTAACGTGATTTAATGTGAGAGTTTAGCAAGGCGTCCGATAGTTTACAGGCCAGCTTTTTAGGCAGGTCCAAGACTAGGGAATAGGAGTTTGCTTACTGACTGACGATCTTAGCTCCACGAAATAGTCTCTAAAACGGTAAACTAGTTGTAGTCAGAATAGAGGTTGTTTTACGCTGATTCCTTCCAGGGTAACTTATGCTTAGTTTTGCTGATTGCCCATGTCGGGGTCACTAATTCATTAAAGCAAGACGCAGCATGCATTTTCCATTGAGAAGTATAAACAAAATGACATATGTCCAGCCGTTGATTGTGTTATGAATAGAACAGATGGTCAGTATGCAAAAAGGAAAGAAATTCTACGGGAATACCTGAAATCCATCACTGCGTGAAGATCACCACTTGACGCTAATCGAATAGAATTTGTCTTCATTCATTACTGTCATTAATTTCCTTGCGCAAACAAATACAAATTGTTAATTCATGAATCAACCGCTGCTAATTATCTAAAGTTCGACATTCCCAATGCTTATCGGAAAAGGAATCAGTGTCGGAAAATTCTCCTCGCTCATTTAGCACTAACACGCACCACTAGTATTAATTTTTAGTGCACCTAGGTAAAATTTAGTTTTATCCCAATAACGTGAATCAGTAAAAACATTGGGGCAGTCCAAAGTAAGTGTATGCCTAAAATGTAAGTGGAAATTTGAAGACACAAAGTTGTGATTTTATTCATTTTTTCGTCATCTGGTTTAAATTACTTATCCTCAGAAATAATTCAGGACGAATAAAAGAACATAAGCTTCGATTACGACATTGTAATTAGAATTTATTGAAAAATGGTAACAAGCATGTTGGAAAAAAATTGTATAATTAATGTCTAAAATTTATAGGAGCACAGTCGTGACAGACGTATGTCTTGGAAGTGGCATTTTTAATAAATAAATATTTTTATCTTTTTAAATGTAGAAGCTTTTCCTAGGAAATAGTTTGGACAAGACAAATTCCTGTTAAGATTTTATTGAATTTTGTAAAATTTACATAATTAAAATGCGTTTAGAGAATAACAGACGGATGGTTGCATAAAAATATCCATAAACAATTTTCATACTTTTAATGTATAACGGTCTTCTGTAAATTTTGAGCGCGCTTTACTTAACCTCTTCTCCAAAGTTATTGTCTGTAATTATTGGTTGGCTTTTTACGATGGAAGGCCACGGGGAGTGGGTCGAGTCCGTCCTGGCAAAGGTAAATGAACACCTGCTAGGCATCAAGCATATTTGGTCTGACATTGGTTATCCGAAAAACAGAGTAGATGAGCTCCGGAGCATGTTAGCTGATAAGGTGATCACACCACTTCGCTGTGTTCTGTCAGATACTCAAGACGAAAAATCTAAATTGGAGGAAAAAGTTAGGAATCTGAAGGTAATTAGTAACATGATAATGGCCTTCTTAGAACAAAACAGTTGAAATTGAAAAGGAGCTTCAAGTACCGCGGAGAGACACTGATTTCTCCCAACCGTTGCTTGTGACTCTGGAAGAACTAACTAATTACAATGCAGAACTTCAGCTAAAAATCGCAGAATTGACAGCAGAATTTAAAGAACTTAAATCCAATGAGGAAAACCTGTGTAGTCTGCTGGATGTTAAAGCCTTGGAAGGCTTCCCCCTCATCCCCTCTTTTGATGACAAACGCCGCGTTCAGAATCGTATCGAGGAACTCAAAGCAATTAAAGTGAGTTGCTATGTACTTTTTAAAAGTCTTTAATAGAGGGAGCGCGAAAGCAAATTGGAATCAATGAGACAACGTATACTGTCCTGCCTTGACTATTTGGGGACTGACTGCAACCTTGAAATGCCCCAATCTGTTCATCAGGCGATATACATGGAGTCAAAACCATCTAATCTGTCCGAATGTATACTTCTAGAAGTTGACAAAGTTCAGGATAAATATATGGATTTATTTCACAAATTCAAGTCAGAGGAGGAGGATCTTCTTGAGAAGATTGAGTCTCTACGAAACAGATTGGCTATGTCTCCTTATTCAATACCGGAAAAGCACTCCACAGTTCCGTCTCAACGCATTAAATACGTACGTTCTAATATTTTCACTCATGTAAACTTTTAAGTCCTCTCGATATAGTTAAACGAAATGTATTATTAATAAATTTGGAATTCGAAAATGAATGATGAGAAAGTATAATGGGTTTGAACCATACACGCAAGTATTATCCCTCACTAAAGTTTACATTGTCACTTCGCATCTAAATGATAAGTGTCTAAATTCATTTATGTCGTGTCCATGTAAACCAGCCTCTTCCATAATTCTCATTTGCACAGGCGTTAGAAACTTCCCTCTGAATAGATCCAAGCGATAATGTAAACTGTTCGCGTGGTTGGTAAAACATTTACTTGCACGCCAATTTCCTTTTTGAAAATTTTCGGATCGTCATGTGGTACATAGACAAGCACCCTCAGGTATGCATTATTTTGTGCAGTAAATTACTGTAGGAGACTAAACTTAATACTAATATGATTTTGTGCGTCGAGGCCTAATGTTGACTCTTTATTCATGCAGTTTGAAATTGGTATTGTAGTTAGAGAGACAAGTTACGGCAGTCAGTTGTGCTATTTGATGCCAATAGTATTAAGATTAGTTTTTTTGGCATCAGTTTCGTCTTTTTCACCTGATCTACTATGCCACGTGTTCTCAATTTAAGCTACTCGCGTGCTTCATTTGTCTACAGGCAGGCGATGTTATTGTGCTACTCGAAATGTTTTTTTCGATTGTGCGGTTTCGCTGTCGAAATCGCTGCTTGGTTAATGGTTGTCGTCACTAGCGAGGTAGTAACCACTAACGTCGTTGTGCTTCCGAGGCGTTTTCGGAAGCAAGTTTGGCAAGGATTCTTGGTACCTGGTTTTCACACCAGTAGAGCATTCAAGGTCTAGTATGCTGCACTTTTTTGAAAGGCTTCGCTGTATCCATGATAGAAATTTGATTCTGGAGTCTGGTGTAGCCCAATGCTGTCCACGGTAGTGCGATTGGGAAGTCGGCGTGGACTGTTAGCAGGTGACATTGCCTTCTTCCAAATATTTCTTCAACTATCCAAGTGGAAATGACAGATTTTTTGGGGGGGGGGGAGCGATTAGAGCTAAACAGTAGGATGGGGATTATGCTAGGCCTAGTATCGCTGTAGGAAGTGCATAAGGTGGTGCATGGTGTTACTTTTTATTGCAGCCATAATCCAGCTGGAAGGGTTTGTTTTCCGCTCCTCATCTGTTAGCTGTGCGGACTTATTATAGGAGATTAGATTGTACAACTAGGTATTTCCTGCGACATTCGAAGAGCCATTCCTGCCTTAAGTCAGCGCCTCATGCATTGTGTAGGGACTGAGCGAGCTGGCTCGTCTTCGTGAGCTTCGATTGGCCAACTTGCGTCGCCTAACAGAGGCCTGTGTTCTTGAGTTGGAAGGCATTTGGACGGCCTGCTATGTGGGTGGCGAATATCGACAGACCTTTCGCGAATCAACTTCTTCCGAGTGTTCAGAGGAGAATCTGTCTCGTTTGGAAAACGAAGTGCACAAGTGGCGACGATTCAAGGCTGCTCATCAGGACTTCTATGATGCTTTGACTGTTTGGCTTGACACACTGCAGCAAATAAAGGCCATTGAAGTTAGTACATCCGTCTCGTACTTACTCTTAACCTCAAATGGCTGTGAATAAAGCTAGGTGGATTTCATATTTTATAACTTGGCTTTTTACCGTTTGGTGACACTTAATTTTTGGATGCATCCAAGCTGTACTTATCTTTTCAATTGTCAGTATTATTAATCGTCTTTGTAGTTGCAATTTTGTATTTGAGGTGATCATCGTTGTCAATAGTATAGCCATATTAAACCCTATGGCTCTGTAATATTTAATATCTTGGAGCTTAAACAAGTGATACTGGCACGATTTTCCGACCAATTTCTACAAGTCATGTTCTCACTTAACAACACCTCTTTTCTCACCTCGTTTTGGTGCAATGTTTGACCTAAATAACTTGCTTGTTTTGGCTTTCACGTTAAGGCTGTCTGCGTTCTTGGCTTGTAGCTAAAACGCCAGGACCCAGTGGTGTTAAAAAATCGTGGTGGAATACTCCTGAAGTTGGATAAAGAGGATAAGAAGCTGCGGATGCGTGACCTCCCTAATCACACGACGCACCTGGAGTCCATAATTTCGCAGGAATGCGATGGCCCGGACGCCGGTCTCTTCTCTCTTGTCTGCATCGAAGGTCAGCCCTTATCGGGCCTGCAATTGGCGGCCGGACAGAAGGAAAACGCTCTGGCATCGCTAGTTGACAAAAGGTATGACCTAGCCGGGATTCTTTTCATAATTTTAAAAAAAATATTGATTAAGAATGGGACAGTAAACCCAGACTCATGTGCATGAAGGTCTAGAAAATGTGTAGTTCGAAAGCAGTCGCTGTCGAAACACCCTCATTGTAATTTCTAGAATTTCTCTACATGCAGGACAATTGTAATATCAGATTTCATGGGTTCTTTTACACACTTGTGTCGTTTGCCAGTCTCGAGTCCTCAAGCGGGATGCTGGGGAGTTCTGGGGCCGCAACAAAGCTTCAAGGGACGGCCGCAAAGGGTGGCTTCTTGTACGCCAGCACAAAGCGTCCGGCGATGGCAGCATCAACCACTAGGGCCTCACCCACTCCCTCGCGTCTTCAAACTCCGTCGACGGAAATCAAGAGACCGCGAACGGACTATCACGGTGGTGTTAAGGCAAGTACACAAGTAGTATTAAAATCTACTTGAAAGAGCCTCCCATATTCAATAAATCGACAAATATGCCGTGCGCGCTGTACCTCAAACTCGGATAACCGGAGCATTTTCCTAGCTTTTGGTATCATAGAATATGCAAAACTTCGTGCATAAAGTAGGAGTATAAGTTTGTTTCTATGACTCCACTTCCGGGTTATTTTGCTACGAAAATCTAGGTTTAAATACGTTAGAACTATCAGCACCGAAAGAACGTCCAGCTTGTATTAGTTCATATTTTACTCGTGTTCTGGCACCCGTACTTCATTTGAATTACTTCTTAATGCACTAGGCTCGTTTTCGAAAGACTTCATTTGGCTGCGGTGGCTTTTTCAACCTGCTTGAAAACGAAGTGGTGTAGATGACTGCCGCCGCTGATGCCAAGGCATGATTGCCTGTGATACTTCCATGCGCTAAAATCCATCTGTTTCATTTTCAGAGGTAGCGCCTACATCAGAGAGGGCTGACAAGTCTCCTTCTGAACACTTTATCCCACTATCACTACTGTACGCCTTTTGTATGTCTTATCTGTTTAATGGCAATTTAAATAAAAATCCCGTCACTTTTGACCAAACCAACGCAGAGCCGGAAGTTGACGCCGCGGATCCGGTGATTAAAGGGAACCCACTATTAAGCTACGCATCCCCCTACTTTCCACTGGAAATTTGCGCTCTTAAGTTCCAAACGACGTCCACACCAAATTAATACAATTGCTATGCGATGCGTCGTTGAGTTACAAACTGATCTTAGTCCTTACTGTGGACGTAGGGTGGAGACTGCCAGAGACGTCACTGCTTCCACTCCTAAAAACTTGTGCTTATAGGAACTCAGTAAGCTTACACCAGTCGCAACGATCTTGGACGTTGGACACTTGATAAAAAGCACTGAGCAGTTAATCTGGAGCCTAAATTAACGCAGAAGTCGTTATTACTACGGTGTTGGTCGGCGCGACACCATTGACCGCATCCGTTTAACTCTCCCAAAGTCAAAATTCGTAACTAGTTTACTAAGACCGCCACTTTGTTCAAGCGATGTAAAAGGAAACTGTTCAGACAGAAGGACGTGAGATTTAAACAGATCAACGGGGAGTACAGATGTCGTCTATAGCAGATTTCGTGGTGAATGACGGGTGATAAATTTTTGGAAGAACGCGCCTCCAAGACATTCAGTGACGCTTCACGTCCTGCCATCCATCATCTAGATCGGAAGAAAACAATTACCGGTAAAGTGAGACCTTAATTTCTAGTAATGATTACAAACTGATCAATTGCAATCAGTCCTGGAGACTAGGCAAGACATTGTGCGTAACCACGATGAAAGGTGTCTACTTACCGTCAGGTTCCTGGTTTTGGGGCGGCTTGGCAATCTTAACTACCGGACGATTACTAAAAGTGGATGCACCAAAAATGCGTTACACACGAACATCAGATTAATCGGAAATTAGGAGCCTCAGGAAAGGAGAAATTACCAAGCCCTACATGCCATTAAAAACGGTGTCTGGATTAAAACAGAGAGATAACTCACTCTGTGGAGGGAACGACTTTTTTACGCGCCCAAGCATTTTTTGAGGTGTCAGGGGCGAGCGGGGGGTTAGTAACACCACCGAATTCACCACGCCTGAAACAATACAAACCAATTTGTGCGCTTGACACAATTAGCTGGGGAGGCCTACATTAGTAACTAAGTTCAGCATGCAAGAACAACTCACGATCGGAATCCCCTAGTTTCCTGACTGGGTCCGGAGCTACAATAGGTTAAATAAACGGTAGTGCTAACATTCTACCGCAATTAAGTAGGGTCTAGTGGTGGATTACAGAAAGTGAAGACGAAGGTTTTGCAACGAAGGACTTACTTGGAGGTCGGGAGGTGGCTGAAACGCGGACGAAACGGCTCCGCAGAGGGGTTTGCGGCGGCGGGCTGTGAAACTCTGGTTGCAGCACGCCAAGGAGCTGGTTCAGCGTCGGGTTCTGCTGCTAAACAGAGGAAAATGGAATGACAGTTGATGCGGGACTAAGCCAATAGTACACCAATGGAATTTGGACCGCTGAACTAATCACCGATTCCGCGCAAGTTGTGCTGTATAACGCCCGGTGGTCGCTAGATTGACATCACACTATGTGCCACGCCGGTCTTCGTAATGGGCGTGGCCACATTCCGACAATAAATTAAAACCGACAATCTAAGTAGGTCACCATATGAAAATCGTGCAAAAGTGGCTCAACTCAAACGGTAGATGCCAGTGCTTTACGCAAAGATATGTATCATGTACAAGGGAGCTACCTTGGACCCAGAACAGAATTTCGACAAACGTCGAAAAGGTGGTAACAATCGAACCAAAAACATGAAATTTACCTCGCGAGGCAACTGGCTTTCTGACCCAAGCGGTTTTCTGTGTTTGCCGTTGTTGATTCAACTCGCGTTCGCGCTCACGTTCACGCTCAAGCTCGCGTTCCCTTCGTTCTTCCTCTTTTTCTAAAACAAAAGGCATTCACACTTAGAGCGGGATTTGGCTAAAATGTGACATCTGAAGATCCGTTTTTCTAGCAATTTGTCGGGAGTAATCGATACTATGGCTTTAATACGAATCCCGACTCAGGACTGCATGGAACCAAAAAAGAGAAAGAACTACGGAATCGGAAAAAGAGACGCTTACTCCTCCTTTCTTCCTCCTCGCGGCGCTGGCGTTCAGCAGCCTCGCGCTCTGCCTCCTCTTTGGCCTTGGCTTCGGCCTCTGCTTTGGCTCTCGCCTCGGCTTCGCGTTTTTCCTGCTCCTCTCGGAGGCGGGCAGCCTCGGCTTCGGCAGCTCTTTTTTCCGCCAAACGTTCGGCACGCAGACGTTCTTGTACTGCCTCCCAGGCAGCGTGTTTTTCCTTGTAAATAGCCTCCTCCATTGACTTCAGCGCTTTTCTCAACTCCTAAACAGATGCGAAACGAGGTATGTGTTAGGGTACTGAACAAGTTCTTGTATGCGAAACGAGGCCATTCTTGGCTTCACCTTAACACACTAAAGAACTAACCAAGACGTCACCGCGCATCCGACAAAGGCGCTCCTTGTTTTTGACCATTTCTTCGTGTTCGCGTCGGGATGCCTCCTCAGCTTCTTGTTGGGCCTTCTGGAATAATTCCAGCCGTTCTTTGGCCTCTGCGACAGCAGCTTCCTTCAGCAGAGGGATCTCCTGGAGCCTACAGGCACGCACCAAGTGATCAAGCTTGCGAGCACGGGCATTAGCTCTGTCCAGGAGCTCAGTTCGGCGCTTGTACATGTCTACATGCAGTTTCGCAACCAAGGCCTCCAGACTGCACTGCTCCAGATCCTCCTCAGTGATTTCTGCCACTGCGGCGGTGGCAGCAGATGAGGCACTTGCAGCTGTGGAGTTTATGTACGTGCGTAGTCGCTCACGATCGATCTTGAGCTTGCGTCGACGCATCTGCTCCTCAAGATGCCGTTTTGTACGCTCCTCCGCTTCTTCCTTTAAGGTGGCTTCCTCCTGTTCTCGCTTAGCCTTTCTTTCCAAGTCTAGACGCTCCTCCTCTTTTTCAATCAACTAGGTGAATAAAGAACAGCCGTAGAGGCTTTAGGAGACAATCGAGTGATCTAAATTGCATACTCCGGAGCATGTCAACTACTTGACGTTCAGAACAAAATATACCATGGATAACGAAATTTAACGTCAAGGGATCCCTATACTACGGTTTTTACTGAGAGAAGTCAAACCACTTGCCTGCTTTTGTTAGTTTATAGAGTAAGATTTCAGAAAATCGGGTTGCTTGCCTCCGGGTAAGCTTACGGTGGGCATCGATAAAACTTGGTATACATAAGGAAAGATTTAAAAAAAGTTGGTTTACCCTAGCACGTTCCTCTTGGATCGACTCCAGCTGCTCCTTGCGATCTTCAATGAGTTTCCTTCTTGATAAGAGATCGCGATGATGTTGCTTAGCTGTTTTCTGGTACTCCTTTACGAATGCGTCCCGAGTCTGGTTTCCGGACTCGTTTACGTTGAGCAGCTCTGCAACCTGGTGCAGCGACTGCGCAAATAAAGTCAGCTGACGTGACAGCTGATCACCGCCAGTCTACAAAACGGGCAGAGTTTATAAAAAAATGAGAATGTCTTGTGGTTGATCAGCCTCGGTTTTACCTTTTAATGGCGAAAAACGTAGGGAATTGTCTGGAACAAGGCCCGAATAGATGAAAAAAACTAAGGAAACTCGTTCAATGTAATTGTTACAACCTAGTAACGTACCTGGGCCACTTGCAAAGGTAGACAGCCAGCCTGTGCGTAGTCCCTCTGGCTGATGCCGAGATCGATGTATACATCGAAGATTATGGCCTGTCGGCGGTGATCAACACGCATTGGCAACTCCAAGTTGTAAATAAGTTCGATGACAATCCTCTCAAGGTTGAGTGGGTCGTAGAACGGACACAGACGTACGAGTTCGTCGAAGTGCAGAGAGCGATATACCTGTGACAGTTGAAGTAATGTCTTTGAGACCACAACCTCGCGCAGCGGCTCTAGGTAAGCACATAAAGCTGGATTTTCAGCTATCCGCTCCAACGCCGGTTGAACGCGCTGAGCAAGCTTCAGCGGCTGGAAGTCGACCTCGAGTGCGTGGTAAAGAGTTACTAGTTCCGGCGGCACAATGGTCTGTACTCGACCCATGGACAAGTCAGCAATCAGTGATGCCCTTGTCGGAACCGTGGCGAGTCCTGTCGACCAAGAAGAGATGAAGGAGAGTTAAGACCAATTAGTTTTACCACTCATTCAATGTCAGTAGCAAACAGAAACCACTTAATAAGAAACACGACAAATAGCATCCAGGGAAAAAATTAAGTCTTAAAAGACCGACCATATACACTAAACGGGGCACTGAAAAGGTATAAACCAGAAACACCAAAAGACAACGAGCAGACGACTATGAAGCTATTGACGACCTTTGAACACCACATGTACACACTTCATGCAGGAAAACGGGATCATTAAGCCATTCTATTATGAAATCTCAACCATCCATTATGATATCTTGCCGTAGTAGTTGTTTTGAGATAAACGTACCCAAAAGACTGGCAAGGGCTTTCTGCTTGGCTTGGTTGTACTCGCCAGAAAAAATGGAGAATTGCGCACGAGCAAGGGGAAGTGGCACCGAGAGGGCCGCACAGAGGGCCTTTGAGCCGAGGTGGGAGAGCTCTTCACTTGACGGAGCCTTTTTATGCTCGCGGTATAGGGCGAGGCGTTTGTAGAGGGCCGCAGCGTGGAACAGGTAGTAGCCAGAGCGCAAAAATAGCTCTGCTGTCTTCGAATAATAATCAGCCATCAGAGAGGGTCGGTCTATCTTCTTTGCCAGCATTACCAGACTCCAAATGTCCTCAACAATTTTAGAAGCCTCCTAATGACAGTTAATAGGAAGAATTATGCAAGTTGACGGCAAGAATATAACAACGAAAGCGCATGATTCCTAATACATCAATAATATGTGGGCACTAGTTGGAATGCAAGGTAAAACTCCGCCAGATTCGGCATTTAAAAACTGGAAAAATCGTTTTTACTAAAAAGTACTGAATAGAAGTAGGAAAGTAAACATAAGAACAAGACGGTCACTTAGTAACTTGCTGAATTGGAAAAACATCTTGGAATAAAGAGCAATTTTGGATCAAGGTGGTAGTAATAAAGTAAACAATATGGGTTTGATTACCTCTGAAACACTTTAAACACATAATGACTCAAAATGTTTTAGTTTCAATGCGATTTGGTGAATGCGTGGGCTAATAAGCATTTTTATGAACACCAACAAATTAAACTCACGTTATACATTTCGAGCTCCATGGCGCAATCAAGTTGACGAAGACGGGTTTCAAAGTGCCAAATTTGGGTGTCCGAGTTAGTCAAACTTATTCCATTTGGTGCGCTGGGCTGGCTCTGTATTCGCGCAGTATGTTGGCGAACCTTGAAAGACAAATTAAAAATAAAAAACCGACTCGAAACAAATAGCCTATAAAAGTGCATTCTTACCATATCACCCAACTTCCTGAACTCGGTTTGCCGGCGGTATTCAACACAAAATTCGAAGGCTACAAAATTTAGAATGAGAAAAGAAGACTACCATCTCTTGCGATTCGATGATAAACATGCTCAAATTTAGTGTTATTTCGGACTAGATCAAGGCAGATCCGGTAGGCTTCCCATAAAAATTTCAACCAGGGCATTAGAATCGTGTGGTTTGAACGCCCATGTGCACCTTCGGTATTCACCGCGTTAAGCATGAGACTACAAGGTAAGTTAGCTATGATAAAAACCTCTCTGGAGTCTCCAGAACATCCAAATCCTCAACGTCAGGAACAGCGTCCTCTGACTGCTTCCGAGCTTCTGCTGTTTTCTCCTTGATGAGATTAAAGTAGTACTTAAGGACATCATCGAGGGACTGAGGGCACTCTTGTATTGAAATGTTCCGATAATGGTGAGCGATCCTTTTGAACTGTTGATTTCGTTTCAGCTCAACACACAAGTCCACAAACATGAACATAGGTTCCTCAAGAGATTTTTGCCAACTGCGTGCCCGGCGGTAAAGCAGCATTTCATATAGCACTTCGAGTGCACTAGCCTTTTTGCCAACATTTATCAAATCTACAAAGAAAAATGGGCGAAGATTACTACCGGCAACAGGAAGGAAATCAGAATGAAAAGCCATCATATTAAAAGTTAATAATCTACTATAGCATCGGTAAAAACATAAGTAACGAAAGTATGCAATGTAGCAACCGCAATTCTAACGGTATAACTAGCAGGTATGAATCTTAACCAATATAAAAAGTATACGCCATAAAAACTGTAGGAGAAAATCTAAATAATCAAACCTCAGGCAAACCAGGATTTAAATACAGCAAAATGCAGAAGTGGGTAAATAGTTGTAACGAAAGGTGTGTGAAGCGGTCTAGAAAATAGTTCACACAACTGAGAAACGAAATCAGCAAACTATTGAAAATATTTGGGCCTTATTTTAAATTACAAAGCAGGTATAAGTTTATGGTGAAAGCAGCAGATTTCGAAACAAAATTTAAGGAACATTACTTTCAAAACCAACCCTCTTAGCCTGCAGTGATGAAAATCAGTTTGACATTAAGTTAACATAATGAAAGGGCAAAGTGCAATTTGACATCAATCAAAGCTGGAAAAACAATTTAAAACCAACGGCAGAAACATTTAATATACCTTGCGCTTTAGAATGGGCAGTCTCCGGTTTTAAATAATAGCTTGGCGGCATCCTCACGCAACGTGAAAAAGAAGCGAAACTTTCGAACGTGGCAGCTCGTAATATGTAAAATAAAACAAATTTTGAATGTTGGACAAATTTTCCTTCCAGATCTTTGTCAAACATGCATACTTTTTTATTTGAATGCAATTCTTATGTGCTTATATAGTGCTTGCTTTCCTTCGAATATTTGTTTTTTTAATTTTTAAATAATTACTAATTTTCACGTGTGCGCATTACTGGAGAAACATCTTTATATCTTACACTTACCGAACTAAGTGTATATGCTCTAGCTATCTTAAAAAATGTGCAATTTTTTGTTCCTTAAAAAGAAAAAGTGATGCAAGTTAAAAGTGCGTCGATACATGCTGTGATTTAGATTCTAGCAGCGAAATATACTCGGAAAAACGGTTTGTTTAATCTTACCTCATACTCATGCGCATGACTGATAAGTTTGCACAAGTTGTAATTTCTGAGTGTTTGCTCTTAAAGCACACCAGACCCTTTGCTCTTGTCCTATTCCCAAAAATACGATAATTCTTTTGAGTTGACTTTTCTATTAGAATGTATTGTCTTATCAATTGTAAACGGGTTTGAGTAAATTTAGTAGGTATTCATATTGACAAATATTAATGTTAATTAGTAGATGTGAATTGTTGAATAAATTATCTGTTACTCCATTGAATATATCGTCTTCTTACAATTTTAGTTTTTAACATTTTCTTGAAATGATTACTAGGCCTCCCCCCTTCTCGAACGTGTTTCAAGCATTTTTTTCAGTAAAAATTATCATACAAATTAATTTATTTAGTCTTTTGTCTTGCGTTGGTATTCAATGCTGCAGTCTGAAATCGCCTTTCACTGCATGCCATTTCGCGCTTCTTATTCAGTTTATAAAATTCTTCTCTAGTCATTGAAAAAATTTGTACCCATTAATGTTAATTCTATCCCTTCGGATAGTTTTTCGAATGTATAGATTTTTTTCTTGAATGTAAATTATGCTTTTGTTTCATTTCTTAGCAGCTCTTTTAAAATAAACATGTTGCTACTTACAAGATATTTTCGGAAAATTTGGCATTTCGTTACTTCTGAAATCGGAGTTATTATGAATGGCATCTGCGTGTGCAGCCAAGCATCACGAGACGCTGCCTGCCTCATTGAAGTTATAACAAGGACAATTCTGTTCCCAATTTTTGTTGCACTTGTCTTTGAAGGCACGGCGTAAAGCCACATTATAGGAAAACTTTGTTGTAACTCGACAGAAACATGTTTTACGTAAGTCTGAAATCATAGATTTCACCGGAAATAGCAGCTAACAAAAATCGCATTAAGTTATACCTAATTGAAAGATGTGCGTTTAATTCAGAACGTCTTTAATTTAGACCACATGTAGACGTTATTTTTGAATTTATTAATAAATATGGACCTCCTTACACTGGAGTTTATTTGCCTTTTTTAGAGTGAATGGTCATGACCCAATAGTGCTTAAATGGCAAATGGTTGACATTGCGATACCGTCATCCATTAAATACTCAAGACGTTTTAGTTCAAAACAGGGTATTTTATCTTCATGCTAAAATGTACTGTAAAAGAAATGGTGTTAAAGGATAAAATTTTTACGATAAACAAACTCATGTAGGCTTCTGATAATTTTTCACTTGACTACTATCACACTTATGCAAGTGTATTTTAACACTAAGTAAACGCTAGTTAAAAAAGCTGGCTTTAAGTGATATTTAGCCTTTAAGCATTCGCAAGTAACTTTAAAGTGTTCATTACTTGCAGTCATTTCAAATGAAATTTTTGGAGGAAATTAAAAACATATGGCTATAAAAAAAAAATTTTCGAACCTGGTATTCACCTCTGCCACAACTCATGGTTTGTTGGCTGTTGTCTGTCCTGCCGTCATACACGAGTAAGTCGATTTCAAGAGTTTTCTTATCTAAAGACGACGACAAAATACTATCTGTCAAGTCAATAGATGACAGTTTCCAATCTCTTTCTTGGTTATCACTTCTTTCCAAGTTTTATATCACACCCATAAAATCGCTAGAATTCTGTTAAACGAACAAGCTATCACGTTGGAAGCCTCATGGTTGTATTTTAGCGTATAATTACGACAAAACCAATACAACGCTGAATAAAATTGTGTCTTTGAAACACATTTTACTGGCAGAAATAAGTTTTTTTGTATTTAGGGGTTTGCGGCCATGATAGCCCCTCAGTTTGCACCAGTAGTTTCATTCATAGATATAGCGGCAAGGTCAACCGTCGTCGAGGCGATTCGTAAAAATGCATCAGCCTTTTTATACAACTTTGAAGTTGAACTGTCTTAACATTTCCACCAAATTTGCATTTTACGGTTCTAAAGCCACCGGAAGGTGTTGATAATCAGGGCGTACCAAAATCCCATTGCCGAAGTATTAGTGCTTGAAGTGCTAGAGAAAGAAGATAAAGACCAATATCTCGCATTTCGTGAAGCCGTAACTTCGTTCTACTATTGAGAGAGTCTCCTTCTGTCAAATTCATGTGACTGCACTTGGAACAGATCAGCACCCACGGCCCTATTGGATGCATCTAAGTTGAGAATGAAAGAAGAGGGACCTCTCTCGGGATCGGAAAAGGCAATGACTAGCAGCTCGACCATACGGGGCTTAGACTCGCAGAACGTCTGATGAGATTCCTTTTTGCACTCACAATACAACAGGTGATAAATCGTTAATTAATGAAAAAAATACGAATTATGCCAACTAAGTACACTACTGATAATGCAACAGTGGTCCTAAGTTTAACACTTGCGCATTTAATCACACATTGCTTGAATGTTTAGCGGTTTGCATTGCAAAAATAAACAAGGAAATGAGCGTCTTCAACCACTAACATTCATGTCTGTATTCCCAATTATAACTTGTTTTTTTGCCAACGAATTTTTCCCCTTTATGTCAGACACGTCATTAACTTCTTTTACCCTTAGGGTATTCACATGGATGAAGATTACAAGTGGCTTGTTTGCTATTTCTTGTTATTGCTCTTCATAAGGCTTGTTTCTTTGACGAAACTTAGTCTCAACAGTTGGTTTAATTAACATTATGTGGCAAAAGCTGATTAGCATTAAATCAACCTGAAATATTTTTCCCACTTCATTGCAACCCGACTGAAGACTTCGCTGAAATACTACAATAAGACTGTCCAAAATATGCTCAACAGAGCAAATTACAGTGATAGAGAGCTGGAAACAAAAGTCGCAGTAGACATTTCAAGATTTAAGGGAAACACTACTTCTCACGGAACATTTGAGTTGGGTGACAGCTGCCTCGACTGTCGATTGTATTCCGCCTGGAGTCAAGTAACTCAACGACGTCCTACTGAGTTGGCCATTCGTTTTGTCGATTCACAAATGGCCTAAATTAAAATGGGATGCAAGTTTGATACCTCAAAGACTCATGCTGAAAGAGTTTTACACTTCTGAGAACACTGTAGTGCTGTTAGGTATACCGAAACTGCTGCTCCTTATCACTGAGATGCGTCGGCCACAGATCCCACTTAGTCTGTAATAGTTCGCTTGAAGGTCATTCGAACAACAACTACTCATTTACCTGCCTTGTCCAGGTATGTGATTTCCATTTTTTACTCTCGATTGTGTTAAAATCCACAGATGTTTGTTTATTTGCAGTTTGTCGCATATTTTGAGAATTTGATCAGGCTGCAAACCAAAATATGTGCCACTAATCTCCGGAAAAATTCAGGAAGTCTTATTTAATATGAACATAGGGACAGGCATTCTATCACTGCAACTACTATTGTTACTTTGTCGAAAGGCCCAAATTTTAGCCTTTTATATAGAGCGGTAAATTGTTACCATCTAATGTGAACCATGTATGCACTCAATGTTATTTATAAATTACACGACCGCTTTACGGGCTTGTGTTCGGCCTGAATTCCTTACTTAATTTGTAACTTACAAATATTTTAATTAGAGTTTGGCACAAATAGAAGCGCCCTTTAAATAATCCCCTTAACTTTTAAGCCTTTCACTTGATCCATGCCTATTTTTTCATTAAGCCTGCATAGAAGTTTCCATCTTATTTGTTAGAATTTTGGTTTTAGCTAAGATTGACATCGGATTCTATAAAATAGCACATTTAATAAGCATTTGCGTTGTACTTGGAGCTTTTATGACGTAATTTTCATGCAACACAAAAAACTCGGTATCATGAAGAGACGGATAACCGTCAAATTTCTATTTTAGTAAGAATATTGGAGTCTAATTCCTTGAATTAGCAAACTAGAGCCAAACCCGCATAGTTTTAAAAACGTTAGTACCCACTGGTATTCAAGCAAGCATAAGTATTTGTGGCTTGGAGCCTTACATAATTTCTCATTGGTGTTTGCTTCTGTCAAAGCGTCACCTAGGCAGATCATTTAAACCTGACAATTATAGTTACTTATTCTAAAGACTCCCATCTGAAATATTCAAGCCTGAAACCCAGATTCTAGCAAACAAAAACTCTTCTTTCGTTTAAAAAAATGATTGAAATAATTAATGAAATCTATCACCAATTCGTGCGTCTACTTATTTGTCGCAAAGGGGACATGAAATCAGTATATTTGATCACAAAGTAGTTCAACGTACGTCAAAAAAGTTTCCAAATAAGCCCTGGCTGATCCGGATTGGTCCATTTCGAGTGGCCAATTAGAATAATTTGTCATACCAGTACACCTGACCACAGTCGGGATAATTACTGTGCTTTAAAATGAACTGAAACAAAGGAGAGAAAAAAGGTTTGTCATTGTCCAATATTTTCTGCCCCTTTTAAAGCCATCTGTCTAATTCATCTACTTTTTTTCTTTACTTTTTTGTGAACTAGTGAAACACACTCTCTCCACACCGACTACAACCAACATGTCAAAGCGACACCCCATTTTACGTGTGCCTTTAAACTTGATTGGCCAAGTTTCTTTCATATTTTTTGGCGCACTGTTTTGGAAAAAAATTCTATTACATATAGCCACTATTGTGTACACTCAGATGTACACACAAACCACTTTTTAAATCATGATGGTTGATATATTATCATCAGCAATCTGCTTCATGATTATATGCTGTTTAACACACAATTTCAAGTGTATGCATCAAACGTGTTTGATTTTTACTTTAGTTGGTATTTGTTATATTAAACTAAGTGCAATAATGTTTTTTTTCGGATTGCTTGGTCACCATCACCAGCTCAAGTGGTGTTTTTGGACAGCCGAAATTTCACATTACGAATTTGACAGATATATTTGCTGACTATATTTCCCTCACATGCACCCTGTGTCCTGTATAGCTGTGCCTTACAATGCTAAATGAGAGCCTCTTTAGCCTATTCTTCATAAAAGTGTACAACTTGCAAGAAGTAGGTCTTGACAAGTGGTAGTTATGACTGTGTGAAAAATTTTGGCTGAGGAGAAAGCTTGATTCAAGAAGGAATTTTTTTGATGACACCTGTAAGCGAAATGCAGACTTACTTTTCTCTCAGCTAAATATTTCTCGTACTGTTCATGAATTGTGAATGTTGCAGTTATATTCTATACGCTTTGCTAGTTGTCGATGTAGCTACATTCCTACATGACCCAGGAACAACATGGATAGACAGCACTGGTACGCTTCATAAACACTGCTGCTAACATGCGAACCTACTTCCATAATTCCAGAGGAAATTTTTAACTATTGTAGGGCAGCAAAATTATTCATTGGCGTCTTCAGTGTTAAACCATTTCTTTCCTGTCCTGGTACATTTGCTTGTCTAAAAAATTGATACTGAAAATAGAAAAATTTTGTTTGGCCACAGTGACCTTAACTCAATCGAAGTGCGCAATTTATGTCGTTTCACGTAGTTTAGTTTCATGTGTGTTTTTAGGCAAATAAATTAGTTTATGGTATGTCTGGTTACGTAACCAGGATTGATTTGAAATTCAGCATAATCATGCACAGGAACTTTGATGCAGGCTTAAAGGTAATTATTAATGCATTTATTTAATCCAAAAAATTTGATTTCCCAGGGTTAAGGGGACGTGGATTGACTCAACTAAGCCATCTATCTTACAACTACGAGTAAACAGATTGAAATTTATGTTGTTGAGGAAACTGATGTTGAAAACTTGTCTGCGCATTTCCTGCTCAAAAATGCTGTCCTGTGTCCCTTGGCCGTTCGAATGAGGATTTCCAAAATGTTAACCTTGTTTCACCAAATCCACGTAAAGTTCAATAAGCACCACAAGTCAAAAACTAAGCACGGTTCTCCTTAGATTTTAAATAATTTAATAGTCCTTTATTCCTAAGTCTGCTGAAAAAACAATACGTTAAAGGAAGCGATTGAATTTGTACTTCGATCGCATACTTTTTCAAATGCACTAAAAAGTGACGGCGCGTCAAATGGTTTTACTGTGGTATCGATAATCCCCAACAGGCAGATGGAATTTCTGTTCCCTGTTGTGCTAGTTTCAAGACACAGCGCTTTCAAATGTCACGAAATGCTTGAAACAGTGCGCTTACTTGATGCACGCACAATTTTTTGTCACCTAAATGTGTCCAAGAGGCCACATTTTAGGGACTTTATCCAGTCACAAGTCTGTGTTTTAAGGCATTTTGCCACACACGTTCGAACTTCGCTTACACATTTCCGCATTTCTGTTTTCCTTATATGTATAATTAATTACTTTACGGTGCATTCTACTTGTAAATTTGAACTCGTCTAACTTCATCTCTGTAATACTTTTACCAAGGGTTAATTTCAATCTTCCACTACAAAGGCTTAGGGGAAACCGAGATACCTTTCCGCATTATGTGGCCCGCGTGTTAAAAGTAACTGATTAAATGAGGTAATTATTCCAGCAAAAAATGCCTGAGGTTTGTGCTTTGGAAGTTGAATTAGTAATAAGCCATGAAATTTATAAGCACTGATGACTTCCAGCTTCCACGTTTGTAGAGCAGCATACTTAGTTCAGCATTTCCTGATTATTCATCTTACAATAAAAGTAGTGAACAAACGTCGATATCCATGGGAAAGTCGTGAGGATGATGTGGCAAAATTAAGCAAGACGAATAGGTGAAAATGTTTCACAAGTTAAAATCGTGATTGTAGCTATTTCTTAGTTATTTTTTTTCAATAAAGTAGTTATTATTTAAATTGTGGGCTTATTAGGTTTTTGCAAAGTTGCGTATACTGCCATCACCAAAAACTAAGTAGTATCATAAATAGCCAGAGTTGGAAACATCGTGACAATAAAAAAGCATTTCGAGTACAAATATATCTGACTGCATGCACGTATCTCTCCTGGGAACCACTTCCATTGGTTGAATTTTACTTTAACAGGATAGGTGGCAGTAGATTATTTCGGTGTATATTTCTACCTCGAGTTTCACCAGATATGATGGCGCACTTTAGCATCTCTTGTGAATAAGCCGAAATCTGGAACACGTGTTCAATCTGTGTGTTTTTTTGGCTTAGACTTTTTGAAAACATTGCAAACAGCATGGTCCAAAAGCCAAGCAAGTTTGCCATCTTCTGCGACCTCACCTCAATTCGTGGTTTTCAGCGCATAAAACGTGCTCAAACACCATTTATCCGGATGATATGGACTCTCTTCGTAATCCTAATGACCGGCGCTCTGATAGTCACTATAGGCTTTCTTGCTCGAGATTTCTTCTCTTTCACCACTTCATGGCACTCACGAACACTAATCGATGATAAGACCGACTTCCCTGCCATCACAATATGTGCTCACAACCCGTTTTCTCTAGAAGCCAATCGGATTTGGGCTGAGGCATCAATTCTAACGCCCACGGAATTCAATCGCCAGCTAAGTGCTATGACCTTGGCTTTCATAGAAAATGGCAACCCTGAATACGCAGGTCTCCTTTTGCAAGATTCCACGGACACGTACTTTGCGAATCTGCGACCTGAGGAGTCACAGCGTTTGGGTCACCAGACCACAATGTTTCCACATTGCATGGTGACTGCTGATGGTGTCAATATCGTTGCTGAGAATTGCATGATCGAAGGAGATACAGGATTCACCAAAAAGCGCTTCTCCCACCCGAAATACTTTAACTGCTGGACCATTGAAACAGCCGCGAACCAGTCTACGAAGGACACAGTGCGATTGACGGTCCTCCTTAGTCTCATTCCCTCTAAGGAGATAAATGAGAGCAGGAAAAACTTTATCATGGATACATTTTCTCGTGGAGAAGGGGTAAAGCTCGTGGTGCATCAGAGTGGTACCTACCCGGAAATCGATAAGCATGGGATTAACGTCCAGCCCGGTCGCATGAATGAGCTCTCCTTCAACACAGAGTGGTGGGTCCGTTTAAAAACACCCACTGCTCCCTGTCTAGACGATCCTCCTCCCATTACAGATATGGGAAGGCAGTATTCCTACCGTATGACACAATGCCTCGACAGCTACTTGCAGAATATTTCCATTAATCAATGTGGCTGCCTTAATTCCGAATGGCCAAGACCCATTCATCCGGACCTTGTAAACAGCAAAATCCCCTACTGCTCAGCTCTTCCTAAGAATGTCAGTGATTCAGCCACACTTGAAGGCATAATCAGACGACTAAACTGTACAAGCAACCTCCTGCACAATTTGAAAAAGATAAAAGAATCGGCCATTTTGAATCACATTTGCACTCCTCGATGCTCCTTCTTCACGTATCCAATAAGTGCTAGCATCACCTCCTGGCAGCCTATTCCAGAGAAACTTCAACATTTCACGGATAAATTTAAAAGAGTTGAAAGGCTTCTAAACAACTACGATGACCCGCTGGAACGGGAGAGACTTATTCAATACCTCAAAGAAGTAATCGACCCCCAAGAAAAACTCTCTACTCAAATTATTTCAAAGTCCAGTCTCCGAATCGAGGATTTCCAGAATCAAGGCTCCTATACGTACATAAGCCTTGTGCGCACAACCTATGACACGACATATAAAGAGGAGCGTCTAATTTTTGACATTTATATTCTAATCTCGCGGGTTGGCGGGCTGTGCTCGATTTTCATTGGCCTCACAGCTGCGATCATCGTGGAGTTGATTGAATTCGTCTACGTTGGATTCTGGCTAGCCAGATCAGATTCATTGGCGGTATCAACCAAGACGGACACCCCTGAATTGCCAGTAGGAGGTGAGTTACTTCAACCGAAAAGGAACTATAATGAAGCTATGATCCCCCCTGACAAAAATTTTGATGAGAACAAAAATCAAAGAATTTCTGTACTGTAACATTTTGCCCTTTGTTGGTGTGGCTGTTGGTGAAGGGACTCGGTTGTTACATTTTTACCGTCCCAGTTTTAATTAATTCTGGGATTCAATTTGCTTAATGTAAAACAAGACATTGCAGTCATAATTAAGTATCGAACCACCAATGGAATTTGAGGCAGCTTGAAAATCACGGCTAATAAAAATCTGTCGGTAACTAAAATGTGTTTAATTAAATCTAGTTTAACACTTTTTTGCCAACTAGTAGTACAAAAGCTGAAATCAACACATTCCGGCGTCTTGATGCTGCGAAACAACGGTTTGACAGGACCGTGTCAACACTTATAAACCCACTTCGTTGTCTGTAGATTGTAAAGACATTTTTGCAAATTAACAAAAGAACAAATTGCAATTCATCTTGAAGATCACTTACGCTTTTAATCAATTATGGGTCTTAGTCACATGATCACTTATAACAAAATAAACGATTTTATTAGCAATTCCGGAAATCACCTATAACCCTGAAGCGGAAAATTTAGCGACCATATTGCCTCCAGGTTTTCTTAAATCCATGCAAATTAAGAAACGATAAGAGGTGATTTAGTGCCGCTTTACTTTGCAGTCATTTCGTAATCTCGATATTTACCCGAACCAAGTTCAATGGCGTTAATGAAATGTAATAGAGAAGCAGACCAAAAAACCTGTTAAGTGTGTGCCATCTTTGGGTAGATATATATAAGCCACATAAATACATGTTGTATTTTAATTAATTTGGGTGGTGTTGTCAGTTTTTTTCACACAACAAATTGCAGTTGATTCGTTTGTTAAGGATTTCAGTGGCATCATTTAAGGATACGTAAGAAAGTAGGCATTGTAGAGTGGCCGAAGTCGTTTTCCAAATTTTAAAATGAGCAGAGTTAAAAGACTTCAGATTATGATGGACTCATCTGATCTTAAAAAAGTGCAGATAATTTAATTGTATTTAACAGAATTTATCTACTACAGGTGAATTACTTTTCCGTTCATACTTTAATCGCGCTGCAACTAGACTAAAAAAATTTTAAAATTTTTTTAATCACATGATCTGGTCATTTGTTTAGTTATTTAGGACAACTTTACAAGAGTTTTGAATCATGTTTAAGTACCTCGTCCAATTCTGGCATTGTTGAATGCTTACAAACATACTGTTATGCTATTTGTTTGCAATGGAGACAAGCAATGATTGGTTGATTTACTGAATGGTTCCACCTATGAAAGCCAGTCACTTTAATGCAAGTATCATTCTGTGTTATAAAGTTGCGGCATAGCGAAGCCATGTATTTACTCTTGCGATGAGTGCCTACTCAACCAATTAGCACGCAGAATTCTGAGGTCAGCAGCGAGTCACCGAATGATGCGTTAAATGTAGTTTTGACTGAATGCTTAAAATACACCACTTATTTACAAAATTACACAGTTGTTTTCAAAGGCAAAGTTTTGTTGAGAGTTCGGAATTTTAGACTGCGGTTAAGAGAAACATTATGGTGTTTTTCAGGCTACATTAATTTTATCCAACCGTGCTCAAAAGAAACACTCGACATGAGAAGCATTTGTTGGTTACCATGGTTGCATCTGACCAAATGCGTGCACAAAATGAAAATGGCAAATATCCAGCTCGAGCATTCATGTGTAATTAAAAAGCCGATGCTGATTGATGAAAAAGCCACACAAAGTGATAGTTGTTTGCGCATAATAAAGCAGTGAGTAAAGCAAAGGTCAATAAGACAGAAATATTGTAGCAGGTGGAATTTTCTGCTGCGGTTCCAAGGAAAGTGAAGGTACTTTGCTGAATTTTTTAGTGTTCGGCGTTTCGCTGAATTCATTTAGCTTTTATGGGATTAACGGAATCAAATTCGGTAACTTGTTACAAAAAAAGTTAACTTAACCAAGGGATGCGCTTAGCAAAAAATATTGGATTGTTAACATGGTTGATCTTAGCTACTAGTGACCTTACAACACCGTAAACGCCTTCATCCACGGGAAGATTGAATTTGTTGCTCCCGATCTCTTAAATCGATTTAAAAATTTAAATTCGTCGATGACGCCATATTTAAACCGCCATTTGCAAATAATAGAAGCATATAACAACATACGTTTTATCATCTATCGTACCTAATGAACATAGATAATGAATGTGTACGACGGTAATTTTTTTCCAGTTTATACAATGATAATCGTAGAATTAAATTGGAGAAATTTTGTAATATATGTCCTCAAGGTTGCCATTTTTGTAGGTTTATCGGACCATGCGGTTACATGATAATGAAACCGAAATAGTTGTACCAACGTTAAAGTACATCAGCCCACCACTAATGCACTTAATTACACTAGAAACTTGGCTGTATGCCTGAGTGGTGGTAACCAGTTTATAAGCTATGCATGTAGACGTTGATATTTAAAGGCACAAATTACGTTTCTGATTAGTATCGAGAGAAAGAGGGTACTTCTTTCAAAATGAAAAGTATAATGACGTTCTCATTGGCGTACTTGAAAGAAACCACGTTTGCGGTTCTACACGGAACCATGTAGGTTGTCAAAATCGATTTCAACCAAGTCGATGTTTGCCCAGTCATAGAACGAAGTGATCGTGCATAAATATGATCCTGGCGCTTCTTTTACCATCTTGAATCAGAACTTTGCGTATTCTGTTTTGTCGTTAGCATTAGGCCAAAATAATCCTGATTAGTGATATGTACGGCGATAGATGCAAGATAAAGCGCGTACAAGAATTTGAAAAAGGCTGCACCTTGAACCTTGTTTTCGGACCTACTTGAGTTGATGTTTTATCAAATAGCTCCAGCACCATGGAGCCCGTAAGCAATTATCCCAATATTTTTTTAAGTGCAAGAATCAAGATGTCTAGGAGAACTGCAATGACGAGTGCATAAATGCTTGTGTTGTTATATTTTATGTAAGCCGTTGCCGTGCTTACAACGCTAAGGTATTCGGTGACTTTAACATGGCCTTAGGGGTTTTCAACGTCAGCGAAGTAATTTTTGTGAATTTAAAGACTGTAGACAAATGTGACTGCGGCGACCTACGTACCCTAAATTTTGAAATATGTGATTTAAGCAAAAGAAAGGCAGCCTTGAAGTAAGCCAAATGACTAAACATTTTTCCCAGTAAAATTCCTTCTGAGAGACACCAATAATAAATTCCAAATATTTTGGTACAAACTGCAAGTTTATTATGGGTTGTGTGTCTGCCCACCACACATTCACCCTGAATTAGTAGGCCTTACACCAATATTTCACTACTCAAATAGATGAGACAGTTAAAGACCATGCAGATTCTTTCATCATGTAAAAAAAATTAAAAGAAAACAACAAAACGTCATGAGATAATTAGAATTTTCTTTTTTTGGGAGTCTCGGCATTCAGTATGACAGCCATAGAAGAACGCAGTCAACCTTTGACGTTTATGAATGGGTCTTCGACGATTATAATCCATCTTGTTTTGTAGTTATGCTAGCAGATGCAACTAGCCAGTAATCTGTAAAATTATTTAGGACAAACGTTGCATAGTTATGGTGTTATATAGCTCGCATATTCTATTCCCAAAATTTCACAAGTACTGATTTGGGTCGAAAGGGCAACTGAATTCAGCAATTCCGCTTTGTTTCAAGATTGCACATGCTGTTCCCTTTCATCTTGGTATGGTTACAGGTTAATCATGAAGGTTTAACACGCTTAGTAGTCACTCTATGTTTTTGTGCTAAGCTTGGATGATGTAGTTGCTCACAAATGCCTCAAAATTCAGTCTCTGACCCAAAATGTTGTCGGGTTTTGCCGATTTGATTAAAAAACTGCCACATCTGCACTGCAAAAAAGTACGTTTGGTTATTCGATGTATCAGGTCTGTGAAATACCATGCCCTTCAAATAGGGCTAATTTAAAAATTAAGAAGTAGTTTGATTCTGGAGCAGGACTATTGCCTTTAAAGTTTCCGCTGTTTGAACCTTATCATTTCAAAGTCCAACTTGCTCAAATCGCTCCAACTTGCTCAAATCGCTCAAATCGCTCAAATCGCTCCAACTTGCTCAAATCGCTCAAATCGCTCCAACTTGCTCAAATCGCTCCAACTTGCTCAAATCGCTCCAACTTGCTCAAATCGCTCCAACTTGCTCAAATCGCTCAAATCGCTCCACTTGTTTTAAAAAGGCAACGACCAAAAAGAATTAAGCACAGTGTTAACAATATTATGCATTCAACTGAATCGCTCATCTTATAATGTCCTGCCCAAATAATAAAAAAAATTTTATTAGCAGGACGTTTTCGACGCAATCGAAAATATGAGTTTTCCTAGGGTTTGCTTTAATTTGGTTTTTTTAACATAACTCCACAACATTTACTCGTGAGCTGATTTGGTAAAACACCAGAGTTATAAAAAGATACCTGGCAGAGGAGGATACTTTAAAGGCGCCGCTTACTTGGGAAAGTTGTCCACTTTTCTGGGTAAACCATCAGTGACTGTTATTCTCATCTTACTACAGTATTGTTAAATTTATTTATTTGCTTACACTCACCGTTTGCTGTGTATGCTATTTGATGCTACTAACAGTCTAAATGGGTATTTTTAAATTACTTTAAGAGTCAAAATTCACTACTGCTATGCACTAACGAGCTACTTTATTATTGCAATTCACATAGTGTGTTCGTAGAACAGGTTGTGCAATTCAGTGGGCTCCTTGCCATAACCTCCGTCATCGTTTTCAACTAGCCATGGTGACATGTCAAGTTTCAGAAAATCCTGCCGAATAAAAGTATAAACGCGGGTTTTCCCAATTCATTCTAGCTTCATGATAAGAAGTTAAGTCTGGGGTGAATGGGACTACCTTCAAAGGAATCTCTTTTTTCCATGACTACACCGGATGAAATGAAAATCTTCACGAGAGACCAGCAATCAAACTTATGCGATTTGGTCATGGGGAATTTTTAAGTTATATTTCAAGAAAGGCTGGCATCAAACTCCAATCATATTACCAA